GGAAGCTGGAGAGGAAYGCTGTCAGGAGCTGTAGTGACAGCACAAGGGGGAATGGGTATAAATGGAAATTTAGATCAGATATCAGGATGAAATTCTTCACTGTGAGAGAGATATTGGCACAGGGAGGCTGTGGGTGCTCCATCCCTGCAAGTGTCCAAAGCCAGGCTGGACAAGACCTTGAGCACCTGTGCCCAGAGGGAGGTGACCCTGCCCATGGCCGTTTGGATCAGATGATTTTTAAGGTTCCTTCCAACCCTTAACATTTTGGGATTCTGTGAACAGGAGACTGCAGAGCTGTGTGTTAGTCCCTTGCCTTAAACCAAGATCCCAAACCTTCAGAACAGAAGGGTCAAGGTGAGATTTGCAGCTCAGACTGCAGAACTTTCAAGGCCTCACCCTTCACCCTCCCAAAACTGAAGGTTGGTCTTACACTGCCCAACAGCCCCATATGGCTTTTAAAGAAAACTATTTTTTGCACCTTGGATCTGGGCAGCCCTTCCCTGAGCCGATTCTTGCAGCCCTTACCCAGAAGAGGAGATCTGCCTGCTCTCCATTTTTACACAAAACAATTCCTCTGCAGCCCCAAACTCAAGGACACCTCCCTGGGCCAGGCCCCAAGAGATGGAAACAACAGAGAATTGGGGGAGCCAAGTTGGAGTTTTTGACTGCATTGGCTGCAGCTGCAATTGGAGGATTCAGGTCCGATTTTGTGCAAATGGACAAAAGTGAGAAAGGGTGAAAAAGCCGTGAGCCATTGTCCATTGTGGGTGCAGCCCCTGGCTGGGCTGGGACTGCCCTGAATGGCCCTGAAGGCCCTGAAATGAACAGAACTGCTCTGGATTATCTCAATTTTGTCCAGCCCCTTTTTAGGTAAGCTGGATTTTAGGTATCAGTGCCACCTGCCCTCCACACGTGAGGACACGAGAGTGGGTGAAATGTCCACAAGGGAAGGTCAGAGGAGGGCAGAGAGCTGCTCTGCCACTGCCCTGCATGTGGGGACATTGTTGTCAGCACCTTGCAGCAGCTGGAGGCTGGCAGGAGCAGGTGGTGGAGGTGAAGGCTGACACCTCTCACCGCTTAATCGTTCCCTTTAGTGGCTTTATGAATGGCAGCCAAAAAGTGCCATAATTGCTGCAGCWACGCTCGCTAATGACTCGAGTTAGATCTGGCAAGTAGTCAAAGGCAGGAGAAAAGAAGCAGAATTGCAGGAGCAGGATCTGAATTCCTGCCTTGGAGCACTGCAGAGGAGAGCAGAGCGAGCCCAGAGAGGGACCAAGCACGACAGGTGAGCAGAGAGAGGTGCTCCAGCACAGCCCTTGCCTGCCCTTGGGAAGAGAACTGCGCAAGAGAGAAGTGGGAATAGGAAAACAAGCCCAAATTTTCAGAGGAGCTCAAAATCCTTTTTCTTGGGGGCCGAAGGTGACCCACCACACAGAGAACATCTTTCTGCTCCAAAACCACCTTGAATCAGTGCAGCACAAGCCCTGAGAGTAACTCAGTTCACTGCCAGCCCCAGCTCAGCTTCAGTCCTAGCACCATATCCAGCCCCAGCATCACCTCCAGCCCCAGCATCACCTCCAACCCCAGCACAATCTCCAATCCCAGAATCACTCCAGCCCAGCACAATCTCCAATCCCAGAAACACTCCAGGTCTAACACCATCTCAGCCCCAGCATCATCTCCAGCCCCAGCACCATCTCAGCCCCAGCACGATCTCCGTCCCCAGCACCATCTCCAGCACAGCACCATCTCCAACCCCAGCATCACCTCCAGCCCCAGCACCATCTCCAGCCCACCATCTCCTCCCCTGTGCTGCACATGCCTCAGGACACCCAGCCCACCCTCGTGACCACGGGAGAGCCGTTCCCAAGGAGTGATCCAGCCCCTCCCGAGCTCACAGCACGCTCCTTCTGATTATGTATCTGTTTCTGGATGTTAACAAACAGTCAGCAGCAGCTGATTGAGTGGGTTATTAGCAGAATGAAGACAGATGGTGGAGGATTAACTCCAAAGCGTCTTCATTGCGTGGCCGTCACTGCAGACAGCTCTCCCTCTCCCTCTGCCTGTGACTGCCACCAGCTCCGTGTCACCCCACAGCTCCCAGTGCCACCGGAGCGCGGGCCCAGCATGAGACGAGCCTGTCATCAATCACAGTGAAGGGATGAGCACAGAGCAGCCATGCTGGAGCTGTGCCTTCCTGTTCCCCAGCCAAATTCCACCCCAAACCCAGCCTTCTCCCGCTGAGGGCTCCACAGAGCGAGAAGTGGTGGCAGCTGACACAGCACAGCAGTGGAAGGACAGTGCCCAGACGGGGCTGGCTGTGCCCATCAGGCAGTGCCTGACAGCTGGGAGAGGCTCCAGCAGCRCACCTGGAGCTGTCTGATCCCAGCACAGACTGGGATGAGGAGCTGATGGAACTGACACAGGCAGGACACTGCTCCTGGCACTCATCCTGGGCCCAGCTCAGCTGGAGGAGCCACATCTGCAGCCAGCTGTGCTGATGGACATCAYCCCTTGCCAGCTGGTCAACAAACAGCACAATGCCACCAAGGACCTTGCTGGGCATCTGTAACCCACATCAATTCCATCCCACTGGGAGATGCTGCCAAACTGGTCTGTGAGCAGCCAGCCTGGAATTTTTCAGTGGGACAGCCAAAAACCTGAGTTCACAGAATCACAGAATATCCTGAGGTGTGAGTTACCCACAATGAACACCCAGCCCATCCCCTGCCCTGCCCAGGACATCCCAACAATCCCTCCCTGTCCATCCCTGGCAGCGCTGTCCCAACGCTCCTGGAGCTCTGGCAGCCTCGGGGCCGGGACCATTCCCTGGGGAGCCTGGGCAGTGCCAGCACCCTCTGGGGACAGAAGAACCTTTCCCTGATCTCCCCACTAAGAAGTGGTTTTCCACCGATAAATGTTCTTCCACACTGTCAAAGACTCTTCTCCACCCACAAGCCATTGTAGATGTCTCCATTAAGTGACAGAAAGGTTCTAATGATCTCTGTAATCACCCCTTTCCTCCGGGATGAAGACCCCACACCTCATATTATCCCACTGCCCCACTGCTTTCCTGCGCTTTCAGTTCCTTCTGCTCCCCTGTGATTATGAATAGAGGTGTTCTTTAGCCTCTTGTTATAGGGAGAAAAACCTCTCACTTGGCACAAACACAAAACRGGAGCTGCTCTCTCTCCTCAGCCTGGCAAGGGAAGTGGCCCAAATAGTCCAGCTCAGCTACCTCGGGCAGGAAATTCCTGCAGATGACCAGACACCTGACCCCACCCCAGCTCACACACCAATACAGCGCGGATCTRCACTGCAATCCACCAAAAACCTGGGAAGCGGGATATCTGTGATTGTCATCTGGAGCTGCTCCTAGCAAAAGCACAAGTCCTAGGTGGTCTTTGTAGCCATGGAAATCCCCCTGACTTTTGTTTTTGGCAGATTGTACCTTTAAACATAATGGCCCTGSAGCCTGCAGGGGCCAGAAGCTGGCTGCACGTCAGGCAGGAACACTTTGTTCCCTTTCCCTCACAAAAGCTTTACTTTTGGCCTTTCATGTCTCTTTGTTCTCTCCACACAAAGCCAAGCTCAGCCTGAAAAGGGGGCTCACTTCACAGATGGACGCAGGCTCTGAATCCATCGGGGGACTGGAGCAGCCCCAAAGGATTGCCAGGATGCCCAGGGTCCTGCCAGCTCTCCAGCACCCTGTGAGCATCCCCAGRGTCTGGGCACAGCCTGTCCAAGAGGCTTGAGGGACAGGAAAGCACCAAGAGGGATGGCCATGTTGCAAAGGGCAGCCCCTTCCCATTAAAAACATCCTCTAATCAATGTTTAAAGAGCGTGTGGTAATTAACAAGCACGAGGTGAAGCCTTGTGAAGCGCTTTCCCCACGTTATCAGCTCAGTATCAGGGCTCCTGGGARCGTGGAGGAACCTTTGATCTTCTAACTGATATTTGAGCCTTAAACTTGCCTCTGTGAGAGTTTTACTCCGTGGAAACAAACTCACCTTTCACCCTCATGGAAAAAGGCTTCCTGCAGGAGCAGACATCCCCACTGCTAAAACTGCTGGCAAAACCCCATCCCACGCGGGGAAAAGCAATCATGGAACAGTTTGGGTCAGAAGGGACCTTTCAAGGTGACTCAGCCCAAACCCCCTGCAGCGAGCAGGGACACTTTCCTCCAGAGCAGAGCCCCATCCAGCCTGACCTTGGGTGTTTCCAGAAAAGGAAGTGAAGCAGAAGAAGACATCACACCCTTTGTCCAAGTTATTTCCAATCAGAGCCCCTAAAAAGGGTTAAATCCACGCTTGGGTCAGGTTTCCAATTCCCAGAGTGACATCACAGGACCTAAACTCTCCCTGACACATCCTGGAGGCCCTTCCATCTCGCAGGGCTCTGAGCTTCCTTCTCTCATCCAACATTAATCCAAAGGTGCTGCACCAGGAAAAGAACCTACCAGAAGCAARGATGCCCACTTCTTCTGAGCACAAATAGTTTTTGTTTAGCTATTACATTTCATAATTATTTATGATATTTCTATGGATTAATCAATGCTCATAAAGTACTTGGAGAATGACTGGAATATAAAATAGGGGAATTTTAGCAGGGGTTTGAAGAGCAGTGCCTCTGAGAGGTGCAGAGGCACTGAAAAYGGGTTCTGGGAGTGTCATGGTGACCACCAGCTCCCAGAATAGGGATAGGATAAAAAGAGAAAACACAGCAACTGCTGTAARAGCTTCCTGTGTGACAAATCCTTTCCACAGGAAAAGACAGTGCATTTTGGATGTATGGAATTATGCAGCTCCTGCTCTTCTCTCTCAGCTTCACAGAGGGGGTTGCCCACATCTGTGCCCTCGAAGATGTTCCAGAGATCAAAGGGGAAGCAGGATTTTCTCCTGGGTGGGAGCAAGAACCCAGCACAACCCTAAAGGTGGCACCCCTCACCGTGAGATTGCTAAAGAGGAAGAATGAGAAGAGAAGGTGAGGGAACTGCTCACCTTCAGTCATCCTGCGGTACTTCTCCTTGTACATGAACCCCAGGACTAGGCAGCATCCTCTTCCTGGGAGCCCCAGTTCTGCAAGAGAAGAGAGCGCGGTGTTAGACTGGGCTGGGGACAAGAGCGGGCACCTGGGGAYGCTGCAGGGAGCAAATCCTGCTGGAAACACCCTCCAGGAAAAGCGCCAGCGAGGCGGGCACAGAATTGAAATCTTTGGTTAGTCCCAGAGCTGAGCYTGGCTGGGTCCCAAGCCAGCGTGTCTGGAGACAGGAGGGTCAGCATCCCCTCCCTGGCCTGTCCTGAAGCTTTCCTCTGCTCCAAGWGAGGGAATGAGCTGCATCTTCCTCCACAGCAGCGCCTTGCAATGACACGACTCTTTTATCCCTTCCTCCCTCAGTGGGCAGCAAAGTRAAATGGGAAATGGCCCTCAGGAGGGAAGATAATCCTGGCCTGAGGAATCTTGCTCTTTAGAAGCAAGCAAGTGACCCCATGAGCAGCRGAGTGCCAGAGTCTGAGGAGGCACAGGCCTTTGATGCCTTGATTTGTTAATGGGGCTTTTGGACTGTTGGTAACAAACAGAGAGATCTGAGCGTGGGTTTCTCCAGAAGTAGAGCACAGGCGCTCTCCCCGTGCGCATCGCGGAGTGGCAGAGAGCTCTCGTTCTTCAAACAAATCCTCCTGTGTCACAGYGCAGAGAATTAAGGTACCGTGTCCCCAACGCTGCCTGCGGACCTGCAGAGCTCCTCGGGGGCTTCTGTGCTCTGCAGAGCCCTGCTGATCAAAGCCCCTTTGATGTTTACTTAATGTGGCTGTGGACTCCGCAGAGCCCCTGTGCCGAGTTGTGCCACACGCGGGAGGGAAGGCAGAGGAGCAGGAGGGTGGAGACCCGAGCCTGGCAAACTTGGCTTTCAGTGCCASAAGGAAAATTGGGTTKGAATCGCAGATCTGGACYGTGTCCAGAGGAAGAGGGAAGGGTSATGGGATGGGATGTGCAGGGAAGAGCCCCAGATCCGTGTGGGTGTAGACCCAGAGACGGAGGATCCCTCCCTGATGGTGTCATCTGCTGTGGCATCCCAGCAGGGTGGTTACATCCTCCTCTTGTGCCGTGTGAGGCAGAATTTGAGCCTTAACCTAGAAAAAAAACAGCTTCTTTTGATGCCAGGGTTCTCAGGGTATGCACAAGACACTTCCTTGGACATTAAACAGGAGGCTCCTGGTCCTTGAGCTCCCACCAGGGAGGAATCAGCCTGAGACCAAATTGTACAATCCCACCGAAGCTGATGCTCAGACAAAAGGAARTCTCTGGATGTGACTCACTCCACCTTTCACCGGGTTTTTGAGGGTGCTTGTACTCTCTCACTGGCCATAAAAGGCAGTGACTAACACAGGTGAAGATATCTAAAGAACAGGGCAGATGAATCAGCCATCAGAACCCTCAGTGGTTCCTTGAATTACCAGGAAGGGGTAATGAGCAGCCATTGTCCACCTCTGATGATGCAAACCGGTTCTCTCGCTCTGCAGGACAGGGATAACCAGGGTGCCCTGTCACAAAGTGCACAGCCACAAACACTCAGAAAGGTGCAGAGTGCTGGATGTGTCCACTGCAGGGACACCCAGCTCAGGCTGCCCGCCTCAGCCTGTTGGAAACAATATAATGTGTGTTTAGAATATTTTCCTTGGCACGTCCTGGCCAGTAAATAAAGTAATGCCTAATTTTCTATCACTTCAAATACAGTGTTAGAGGGTTTTCATTTTCTTCCCGATTTTTGGTGACAAGCCCTGTSTGATAACAAGCATCGATCACACCTTGCTGACCTTTGTGGGGTTTCCACGGAGGATCCTATGAGGAGACACACCCTGAGAGCCCAGCAGAGCCTCCAGAGCTGGCTGAGCAGAGGCAGCAGAGCAGGTGAGAGCCTTTCTGTCTTTATTGACAGCAAAACAAACCCCATCGATCGCTATTGAGCCTCCAACGAGCACCAAGGTACCAAAGTAATTAAAAGAACACAATTAGATTAGCAGCAGACAAGGCAGAGGAGCCACAGCGGGGCTGAGGAAGGCAGAGCAGCTCTGACTTGGACGTGCACGTGTGGGGCTGAGTGTGGACACTGTCTGGGTGCTCCTGGGTGCTCCTGGGTGTTCCTGGGTGCTCCTGGGTGCTCCTGGACACAGACCTGGGGTGTTGGGGCTGCCACGCCCTGCACAGACCATGAGCACAAACATCACCGAAAGCATGGAATGGTTTGGGTGGAAATGGACACTAAAGATCATGCCATGGGCAGGGACACCATCCACTGTCCCAGAGTGCTCCAAACCACATCCAGCCTGGCCTTGGACACTGCCAGGGATCCAGGGGCAGCCACAGCTTCTCTGGGCACCCTGTGCCAGGGCCTCCCCACCCTCACAGGAAACAATTCCTTCCGAGTCTAAAACTATTTTCTGTSCATGTGAAGCCATTCCCTGTGTCCTGTCCCTCCATCCCTTGTCCCCAGTCCCTCTCCAGCTCTCCTGGAGCCCCTTTAGACCCTGGAAGGGGCTCTGAGCTCTCCCTGGATCCTTCTCCAAGTGAGCACCCCCAGCTCTCCCAGCCTGGCTCCAGAGCAGAGGGGCTCCAATGCACAGAGCATCTCCATGGCCWCTCTGAACTCCCTCCAGCAGCTCCACATCCTCCTGATGGTGGTGGCCCCAGAGCACCCTGAGCCAGGGCAGTGCTGGGGGCAGCAGGAGCCGCGGTGTCCTGGGACCACAATCCCCACTCTCAGGTGTCCAGCTCTCTCCTTCCCATTGCAGTGGGCAAAAATCCCCCAAAAAGTGGGTTGTGGGCAGGGGTCCAGCCCAAGGCTGCACTGCCCAATGGGTCCCAGGCCCAGCTGAGCCCTCAGAGGAGGGAGGGAGGCTCAGAATCCCCATGAGCTGTGAGTTCCAGAGGCTGGCTCAGCAGGCTGCTGTGGGTGCTTGTCTCCTGCTCGCCTCCCCCAGGGGTGCTATAATTAACACTTATAAACCACTTTGATATCCCATGATGAAAGGAGCTGTACAAAAGCACTGCATTATAATAATTCATACCATAAATTTGTGAGAACATGCAAAAAACCTTTATAGCTAAAGGCACCTTTAAATACTTGAGAGCGCCTTTAAAAGGTAAAATACTTCAAGATGAGTCTTCTGCCTAAGGATGTCTCACCATTTTGGCTTTYAGTGGCTACCTAAAGCTAAAACAGTTAAGCAGATGCCCAGCATTTTAAATGCCTTGGCTGAGACACACAGAAACCAGAAAGTTTTAACCCTTGTGTGTCCCTCTCTCCCCCAAAATCAATCCCATCCACTTCCTTGTGATGACAATTGAATTTTTCAGCAGGGCCGAAGTAGCTACAGCTGAAGTTGATCATCTCACATGCTGTGACAAAGTGGGAGCTTGAGAACCCTGGTTGGAAAACACAGCAGAACCACGGTCCTGACTCTCTCAGAAGTACCTGCATTAATTCACCCCCAAACTGGCAGAAGAGAACAGCCACTCACTGGGCAAAGCAGGAGCAAGTTCAAACCATGAATTGCGAGTGACAATGAAGCAAAAGCCAAATAAAAGCAACAAGGCCTTGGAGACTTTGAGAAAGAGATCCTCAGCCTGGGAAATAGAGGGGAAACATGTTTAGGAAGGCAGATCCTTCATGGATTCATCCTGCTTTTTCCTCAATTCTTCCAATGTTTGGGATTTTCTTACTCAATTTCAAGGCAATTCCTCCACTCACCAGTCAGGAAGGGAATAAAGTATCTGATCACTGGAACAAAATATCCAATATCAGTGCTGGCCCAAATGACAGATTCYTCCTGTTTTTCCCTCAGTTCTTTCAATCTTTGGGATTTCCTTACTCAATTTCAAGACAATTCCTCCACTCAYCAGCCAGGAACGGAACAAAATATCYGACCACCGGTGCACTAAAGGCTAAAGCTGCAAAGCTGTTATAAGGGTTTATTAACATAATCATAATGTGTACTATTGTGTAGCTGTATCCCACCAGGAATGATAATAAATGTTTAATAGCTCAATAATACCTGTTTAATAATTTTTCAGCTCACCCTGTCTAATTGCAAGTTTATTAAAGAACGATAAACTTTATAATCGTTGTAAAGGCATAATTGCAATTCCATTGCTTATTTAATATTGAGCTAATGATATTACAACTAAGTTATATTTTCCCATACATATTAAATATCAATTAGGTGGTTTAAACTATTGATTTGTATTTAATTAACTATGCTATTATATACCAATTAAGCTCTTATAAGAGAAGCAGAAACAGCTGGTCTCTTAAATTAAATTTTTAAAACTTTGTATTAACATAAATATCACATWTCCATTTTCTCATGTTTTCCTTCTACAGTGGTGACAATTTGCTACCTGTAAATATTTTTTTTCCAATTGTCTGTCATATCCATGAGTTTAATTCCTTGTTTTTTGCTTTCCAGGATGGGGAATGGACAACATCCATGGCAGATACCCTGCTGCCAGCAACACCAAAATGTGGGATCTGGGAAGGGCAGAGGGTTGGAAAAGCCTTATCTCAGCTAGGGATCCCAGGAGCAGAGAGCTCAGCTGGGAGCTCTTCAAAGAGCAGGAAATTCTCYAAGGAAAGAAGCTCAACAGCTTCCTAAACTGGCCAGCAAGGTGGCAAGAGAAGATTCTACATCACCAAACCCAAGAGATTTTGGTTATTACCCACTTTGATGGAGAAACCTCATCCTCCTGCTGCAAGGTTTCCTGTCCTGCTGGGTATGGATGCCTTGAAAAAGGAGCAGCAACAGGATAGAAAAGTATAATCTCACAAGGTTTTCCACACTCCTGGCTTCCCTGTGCCTGGGAACGCTGCACTCCAAAAGTTAGAGGAAATACATGAAAGGAACATTTTCTTTGTCCTTCAGCATCCTGATTTCCAGGCTCAGAACAATCCCAAACACCCCTGTGAGCTCTTCCTCAGAGGACTCTGCCCTGGGCACCCATGGAGAACTTTTCTCCTGCCCTGAGTGCTGGGTTCAGCCTCCCTTCCTCAATGATTTTTTGCATCCAGGAGCATT